TGAATGTTGATAGTTGATCCAATAAGAATGAAGTTCTTGACAACTTCAATCTTTTCTCCGTTGATAAGAATGTTGTTTATTGGTCCAGTGGTGAGGATTTTTGTTTTCTTTATATTGAGATATAATCTATACTGAAGGCTGTCATTAGTATCTTTTTTATGTAAACTATCTTGATCTCATTTATGTACACTATCCTGATCTTCCAGAGAACCTAAGGTTCAAAAAAACATGTTTATTTTTTAAAAATATCTAAAGTATAGTAAGGTGAAAGTACTAAAGCTGGATTTTGTTCAGTCCAGGTTGTGACAGGGCTCACATAGAGAAACAAAAATATACTGCCCGCTACTAGGGAATAGGTTTTGGGTCAAAACAGAAGGGAAAGAGACTGCCTTTAAACACTTTGTTTTTTTTTAACCATCTCTCCTTTTTTAAGACTAGATCACTCTCTGGTGTCCAGAAGCTGATGTAGAAAGATCCAATATGCCACAATCATCTTCTATCTCCACAAAAGACATTAAAGTGCTGTTGTTTGGTGGGGAGAAACAGTTTTAACAAATCTTAGAATAATACGACATAAATGTTTTATATTCTCTTACAACTGGCTTCACTTTGCCAGTTTGAGAACTTTATTTTCTTCAGGGGAAGAGGTTTGTTCTTGTGGCATTTGGCACTGGAAGCGTTAATGGCTAATGACGAAGGAGACCATCTGTTCCTTTATTACAGAACAAGCCGAGGTTATCTCTACATAAAAAATAGTCTCCTCTGTAGCAGATGGGTGCTGTCTGATCCTTCCTGTCCTCTCCTCCTATGCTCTTTTCGGATTGGCTTCTTTTGGATAATGTTCAAGAGTCAGTCAGTAGCAGTGTGAGCAAAGCTGACAAGCACACAAAGGAAGGCACAATGGCTGACAAAAATTCAGAAATAACCTTGAGGGATACTGTTTCCATTACATAAACATCCACTCACACAACAAGTCACTTAGCACATTTGGAATATAAGACCTTCTCTCTCCTAGTCTCTTTACTAAACCCCCTACCCTCAGCCCACCAGCGTTCCTGATAAAATACCGAGGATGCAGATTTCCTACGTACTCTCTACTTGGACTCACCTGGGATTCATATGGAAGAAATGCAATGTTGATTTCAGTCAGAGTTTTGATGACTTTGGCTGCTCGTGATTTTACCAGCTCATTAAACAGGGCATCTGGACAAGCTGCAAGTATGACAAAAGACAGCAGATTTTCCTGTCCCCTTGCTAGTTCATTTCAAGGCTGCCCATGTCCAATGGACTCTCTATTCTACTAGGATTTTAAGAGGACAATTAGAAAGTTCATCCCCATCATAAAATATGCAATATCTCTAGGGAGAAAAAGGAATGTAAAGCTACCCACAAGACCTCAAGCACATTGCAGAGGAACAAATGGCAACAGATAAAGATTTAGATATTGAGAGCTAACAAAATCGGTTTTCTGATTCCAAAGAAACTGAAAAACAAAAACAACAAAAAAATAGAAGAGACAGAGAAAGGAAAAGGCCTGTAATGTAAGCAAACATATCTAAAGTGTAGATAGATAAAATAAGTAAAAAATAAAACCACTGAGACGCAGGCACTTCCCCTAGAACCTCTAAGGGGAGGCCTACTTAGTGGTGGTGTCCACAATTTCTAAAGACTCTCTTGGGCCCAACAAATGACTTCAGGCTCCCAGAAATGTGGTATCAGCTTATCTTGAGTAATACTGATGCCTACTTGATGTCTTTATTACTCATATTCAAAGACTAAGAAATCATTCTTTGCTAGAATTTTTATGTTCTTGGTAGTGAGTTTAGTTTTCCTAAAGAGTGAACCCTCTAGAACTTAGAAGAGGTATTTGCTGCATTATTTTTCTTGAGGAAGAACTACATGACCTAGTAGGTTTGTATTTGTGTTCGTTTTTGTCTCATATAATTTCATTTCTGAAGTAAAGAGAAATTACCGTTAGGATAATCATAAGGCAACAACCTGTTTCTTCTCTATGGATCTTTTTTAGTTTGGGTTCAGTTCTGCTGTGGAGGAATACTTAGGATGGCAGAGAGGAAAACTCACAGTCAGTGAAGAAGACATGAGCAGCCCGGTATTTTGCAGTTGGTGGGTCTTTAAAGTCACTGATGAGAGAGTGGACAGACTGTAGGAAAAGAAGAAAGGACTGAATCCAATTCTAGAGGCAAACAGAAACCATTCCTAAACTGAACTAAATACAAGTTGGTGTCAAGCTCATTGCACAGAATACTAGGGGACTTTTGGTGCATAATTCTTATACTCATGTTTGGCCAGAATTTAGTTCTGGAATCCAAAAGTTAGGACTCTTTCAAAGTTCAGGTAAACCAAGGCTTGTTTTGCTTATTCCAGAATGATAATGTCAGTTCCTTTCAGCTACTTGAACTTTAAGTTCCCTAAAAAGAAACTCATAAAAGAGGAAAATTGTCAGATATCTTTCAGGAGAGTCAAACTGACAAAATCTGGCAATTTAGATGTATCCACAAGAACCCATATGTGTAAGCGATTTTCTAAAATATAAACACTGAGGAAATTTATATAGATTAAAAGAGACCTAAGATATTTATCAAAAGCAAGGGGATAGTTTGGATGCTGATTTGAACCAACCAATTGTGAAAAAAAATCTCATTTTATACTATGGAAATTTTCCTCAGCAAAAATTATGAAACAGTTAGATAAATTTGAACACTAACTGGATGCTGTTGAAATCAATCTGAAGGCACAAATAACAAAGTTCTAAAGGTGGACTGTTAGTTAGATGAAGTGGGTCTCCTACCTGGAGAGAGGTACAAAGGGCTGAACTTGAATAATCCAGGGCCATAAAAAGCCATCACTGGCTTTCTGCACAGTTGTTAATACACTTGTCATTCCTGGCTATGCCCTGCCCCTGCACCCATGTGTGTGAATTGTATGCCCAGTTAAATGCATGCTTAACCTAAAAATGTCAGACACTTCGTGCCACACAGATACCACGCTGGCATGCAAAGCTAAGCCAATGCTCTTCTCTGGTGGAGAATTTACCTTCTCAGAAGGAGTGATGAGATACACAGCCTCCAGGCTGGGGAGCGGTTCTCTGCGCTTGTTGATGTCTTCTACAACTAGACAAAAAATACCAGCCCATTGTGAATAAGAAAAGAGAATTTGTGATCACAAAGCTAGAAGCAATATAGACAGGCCACCTTCAGACTGGCATGTATTAAAATCTAGTGTGTGTGGGGGTTGGGGGGGGTGGGGAGAGGGAATTTCTTTAAAGTTACCCCATTCCTTGGACGGGAACTCCACTATCTCTCAATGTTCATGATATTGAAAAACCTGAAAGTATATCACACTAATATCCTTCCCAACTGCCACTCCAGTTTAATGAAATTCCTCAATCTCTTCTGAGTGAAAATGGAAATTGCTATCCCATTCTTTTGAGAATTACTCTTTTGCCTTTTCCTTCTTTCGCTTTTTCTCATCTGTCCTAAATAATCCCAATTCATTTAGAATTCCCGTATCAGGTTTATTTGTTTTCAGTTGGATACTTTTATCATTTTCCTCTGGATAGCAAACGAAGTCATTCCAAACACACCCTCTATATAATACTGCTCTGTGGAATAGTTCAGAGATTAAACATTACGTTCTATTAAAGCAAACCATGGGCTTTTGGTTTGCTTGTTTCTCTTAAGGCTACATCAGTTAGTTCACCTGGCCAGAACAGCTTTTGGGATAATCTCATCTTAATAACCACCTAAGGAAGCTTAGAATGCTTAACTTAGGCTGCAGGGTCCTAGTATGTATGGAAAACCAATACAATTGTATGTGCCACTGTTCCTATGCAGAGGATTTCAGCAAATAAAAACATCACTTTAGAAGTATCCCTTGCAACGTTTATACAGGTATTCCACTCCAAATTATATTCAATACCAAATCCCTCAACCATCAGTGGTTATAAAACTTAGAATCTCACTGAACAATAATACTTCCTTAGAAAAGTATTTTGGGAATTCAGCATAAAGTTGCTAGCTTTTATTTTGTGAAGGATGGATATTTTATAAAGCTTACCTTTAGGGAAGGGGAGAGAGTGTGTGTGTGGTGGGACAGAGCTAAGTCCTCATCTACCACAGGAAGTCAATAGATAATAGCTAACACTGGTGAAGAAAAAGATAATAATATAAGCACTTATGAAATAGTCTAAATATAACCAAAGGGAAGAGTAAAGTGCCTGAAGAGAATGGGGCAGGGGATTTCTGTTTTCTGCTATAAGCTAGTGAGCACCATTTGGCTTTTTTCCTTCAGTTTTTGTTAATTTGTTGCTCTGATAGAGAAAAAACAGTTTCAAAAATCAATAATGAAAATAACTTTGAAGGCTCAACATAGAGGCAACCCTGGTCTTAAAAGCTGACTTGAATCATTGAATGACATGGAAGTTACATTAAAAATTTTGTACTTCCATCGAAAGGACTATGCTTCTGGTGACCAATAAACTAGATTTGGAAATTTGTTCTTAAAAATTAATTTAAAAAAAAAAAAGAAGAAGAAGAAGCAGTAGTAATCACATCCAGGAGTCCTGGCGTGGTGCTGTAGGATACGCACCAGACCACAAGGTTGTTGGACCGCAATGCCAGTGGTACGAACCCACCAGCTACTCCTCAGAAACCCTATATAGGGTCATAACAACAACAACAACAATAACATCCACGATGTGGCTGTACAATATATATATAATATACATACTTCATAGATCATCCACATATACTATCATCATAATTTCATAATTAAGAACATTTTTTAAGATCAAAGACTAAGGAGGACCTAATTCAAAAGAGAGCTTCAAGCATAAACATATAAATACTTATAAAGCAAACATCTGTGTTACCACCACCCCAGTTAAGAAACAGAACCCAGGAAGCACTGTAGAAGCACCTTCCCTGACCACAATTTCCTTCCTTCCGCCCAAGAGAACAGCTATCCTGACTTTATCACATCCTTGCTTCTCTTAATGATTTTACCGCCTGTGTCAGCATTCCAAAAACAATACAGTTTAGTTCTACTTGGTTTTGAACTTGAAATCTTTTGAAGATTTTAAAATGAAGGTATATTGTAAGTATTCTTTTGTGTCTTGCTTCTTTTGAACATTATGTTTATCAGATTCATTCATGTTATTTTGAGGAGTCAGAGTTTGCTCATCTTCACTGTTGTTCAGCAGTCCACTGTGAGACCACACCATGAGTTACTTAACCACTCTACTCTTGATGGACGTTTTGGTTGCTTCTAATTTGGGGCTACTTGAACAATGAATCCTGGCGTGGCACTGTGGGCTAATGCGTCAGCTGACTGTAAAGTTGTTTGAACTGCAAGGTCAGGTCGATGGTTCAAGCTCACTAGCTTCTCCTTGGAAACCCTTACACAGGGTCACTATGGGTCGGAATCAACTTGACGGCACTAACAACAACAACATGAACAGATGCTCTGTGAACATTCCAGCACATGGATCCTGGGCACACATGTCTGAGGCTCTCTAGAACACACATCCAACTGCAGGCCTGCTGGCTCATAGGACATGCATACCTTCAACTTCATTCCACACAGCCAAGTGTCTTTCAAAGTAGCTCTGCCAACTGATTCTCTATCAGATAGGGATTCCTAATGATCCACATCCTCACTATTACTTGGCATTATCAGACTTTAAATATTCAAATCTGATTAATTTATTGTGTATTTCACTCTAGTTAATTTGCATCTCCCTGACTACTAATGAGGGTAGACAGTTTTCATATACTTATGTGACATTTGGGGTTCTTCCCTTTTTAAATGCCTCTTCAAGCCTTTTGCCCACTTTTCCCCTGGGGTGGTCTTCCTTTTCCTTACTGATTTAACTTTTCTTTGTGCATTCCTTTAACAAATATTTAAAGAGCACCCAAGGTCTAACTTAGGTGGTAGGGGATTCAGTGGTTAGCATGATAGCGTTGGTCTCTGTGGTATAGTGAATAATCTAATGCCTCTTCTAGCCATAGTCTATGGTGGTGGTGCTGGTGCGCCATGGAGTTGGTTCTCACACATAGCGACGCTGCATAGCGTTTCCGAGGCTGTAAATCTTTAAGGGAGCAAAAAGCCTCATCTTTCTCCCACAGAACAGCTGGTAGTTTTGAACTGCTAACCTTGAGGTTAAGCAGCCCGACTTGTAACCACTACGCTATCAGAGCTTCTAGCCATAGTCTGTATCTCCCGCCAAACAACAATTCTGCCCTGCTGGGTCTGGGTCAGAGAAGATGCTGATAGGATGACATGACTCAGCTGTGGATGTTAGCACAGGTTTATTGTGAAAACTTGAAACTCAAGCATGGGTTTAAAAGGCGTCATCTCAGTAGCAGGAGGAGGGACCTTACTACCATCAAAGGAGAAAAGCTGGGAGTACAGCACATCCTTTGGATCTCAAGACCCCTCGCACTGCACCTCCTTGACTCAGGGACAGAAAGTTGTAACACCTGAGAAATGGCAGAGGCGCAGCAGCAGAACCAAGAACCAGAGCACACGACAAAGCAGTGGACTCTCCAGCCCACGGAACAAATTAAGCTGAGTGATTTTGGGTAGGACACTTCTTGTTGGAATTGGGGAGCTATGTTTGCTGACCCAGGGAGCTAGAGCCAAGTGCCTTCAGGCTAAGGCTTATGGTGGAATGGTGTGTCCTATGGGCATGTATCAGCTGCTAAGTGGAACAACTGTGCCCTGAGCATTTCTGACCCTGCATTGTAACTGGTTAGTAACTGTGTGTATGGTGTCTGAGTTCTGTGTGGCCATTGCAATGGATTACTGAGCCCAGTTGAATAGAGAAGACTATGGCTGGTACCATATCTTTCTCAAGGAGCTATGTCCTCCACACAGGTTATGGAAAGAGCCTAAAGTCAGAGAGATAGACGTGACTAGAAAGTACTGTGACCAGTAGAGTGCTCCACAGGAGAAGGCATGAGTGTTACTAAACAGAGACAGCGCTGTACTCACTTGTTATCCCCTCGGTCATGATGTCTGTCATCTTACAGCAGGACGACAGCATCCTCATGCTGAGCTGGTCAACCACCAACACCTGGAAAGAAAGAGATCTGTGTACAGGCTGTATAGCACCTGCTACAGACTCACTTTTGGCGTACTGTATCAGATTTTTAAAAAAAATACACTAAACCAAACATGCTGCCATGGGTTGGCACCGACTCTTAGCGAGCCTTTATAGGGTTTCTGAAGCTGTAAAGCTTTATGGGAACAGAAAGCCTCATTTTTCTCCAGTGGTGTGGCTGGTGGGTTTGAATTTCCAATCTGGTGGTTAGCAGTCCAGTGCTTATCCTAAACTACCACCAGGGCTCCTAGACTTCAAAAAGAGCCTCAGAAATGCACACTATGGAGCTAGCAGTATTTTCAATGGGTCAGAAGTTGCTTAGACACATGCTAGCTTTTATCTCTCGCACTCAAACCTAACCTTCTAGGATTTAAAATTTACTCTCATTGACTTAAATGTATAAAATTAGACAAATTAGAGTTTTTCTTTTTCATGATAAAGGAAATAATTACTCATAAAAATGCAAAAAAATTAAGGAAAAACATCATCTACTACACCAACACCCAATCAGCGGTTGAATGATTCATTGTGGCTATGTGAACCATACTGGGAAGTATTTTTCAGAGCGGTAATTTTTTCAAAAGGGAAAATGACACTATTGCCTACATGTAAGGTATAGAACATGAGGACTTGTGCAGAAGTCTTCATTAGAACACATACATTCATCTCCTATAAACAACACAGTAGATCTCAGTGCAGACAGGAGAAACAAGAACATTCCATTCCCATCCTGGTCTAAACACTTCATACCTGCTATACAGGAGAAACAAGAACATTCCATTCCCATCCTGGTCTAAACACTTCATACCTGCAATTCTTCAGCTAACCTATTGTCTCCACTCAGCCCACAGTGGAGAAAGGAGCCAGCAGTTAAAATAGGACTATCTCCCTCTTTCATGATAAAAGGACAGAAGGAAGCAACAGGGCAGATAATGTAGACCACAAGGCTTTCTGTTTCAGTACAAGAGCCAAGTAGCTACCATTTACGAGGCAGTTTTCTCAATATTAGTTGAAAATTCACATTGTCTACAAATCCATCACTAATTAAGTGTGAGAGAAAAAGAACTACATAGAGAATCCCCACTAGATGGCCTCTCCTGGGTGGTGAGGACAGATGTGCTGGAAAATCCTGCTGTCCCAGGAAAATGGGTGAGCTCTTGACTGCAGGAAAACTCTGGAGGGAAGAATGGTTCCCTCAGCACTCCTGGAAGCTCAAGTAAAATCGCGTATTCTCCTAACCAGTAAAACATCCAGCCTTATATGGCATTAGGCAAATCTGCTGCACAAGACCTTTCTCAACTGTTGAAGGGCAAAGATGTCAGCTTGAGGGCTAAGGTGCGCCTGACCCAAGCCATGGAATTTTCAATAACCTCATATGCGTGCGAAAGCTGGACAGTGAATAAGGAAGACCGTAGAAGAACTGATGCTTTTGAGTTATGGTGTTGGAGAAGAATATTGAAAGTGTCATGCGCTGCCAAAAGAATCAATAGCTCTGTTTTGGGAAAAGTGCAGCCAGAGTGCTCCTTGGAGGCCAAGATGGCCAAACTTCATCTCTCATACTTCAGACATATTGTCAGGAAGGACCAGTCTCTGGAGAGGGAAATCATGTTTGGTAAGGTGGAGGTTCAGAGAAAAAGAGGAAGACCCCTAATGAGATGGATTGGCCAAGTAGCAGCACTGATGGACTCATCAAGCGTGGCAACAGTAGTGAGGTTGGCCCAGGATCAGGCAGTGTTTCTTTCTGCTGTGCACAGGGTCACTATGGGTTAGTACCAACTTGATGGCACCTAACAACAACAACATGGCTCCAGACAACCAAGCAGTCCTGAAAGCATTAACTTCACAGCTTTCTATGCCCCACTCCTCCTCACTCTAGGAACCAGGCCATGATCTATTTGATTGGTTTAAAATGCTTGTTGCCTGTATATTATCATTTCCAGCAATGCTCTCAAAGTTATATGAATAAACACACTTACTTCTTTGCTTTCTGTAATTACTGGTAGATGGGGATAGACCAGAACATGGCTTTTCAAACTGTTGAGTAAGCTCCATGGAAGTGTTTTAGGGCTACCAAAGGAACAAAAGGGTCTTCCTCTTTTTCTCCCACAGTAAGATGAATAATTTCACCTTCACATGACACGTTCCAAGTAAGATTTTGTTTAAATCAAAGAGTTTTACTAGTAAACTGCTTGACCAGGTAATCTCTAAGATAAAACTGTTAATAACCAACAGACTTCTCAGCCAGGATCATATAAACTGAGAGACACAGCTTCTCCAATCCTGAAGCCTGTTTGTACTCTGGACCAGGCAAAAGCCTTCATTCTCTGCCCAGATATCTTTTCCCAAATCTACCTCTATTTTTATTTCTCCCATGTGAACACTCATTTAAGGCCTTAATTAAACTTATTTACTCACCTTCCACTCTCCCTTCTTCTTTACCTTCTTTATTACATCATGCATGATCTCTGAAAATGAAGAAAGAGAGAGAAGTGGGAGAAGGGAAGAAAGAAAGGAGAGAGAAATCATATTATTTAATATAATTTCAAGGATTAGGTCTTTTCCCCCCATCAGCTTTGTTTTCCTGGGTCATGCACTTCAACCAATGTGTTTACTGAGCCTGGTTCACATGCATAAAACTAGCTTATTTTCTGTTTCCTTAATTCAGAGTTTCTCAAACATTTTGATCTCAAGACCCCTTTACATACTTAAAAATTACTGATCCCATAGGGCTTTGCTTATACGGATAATATCTACCAATATTTTACCATATTAGGAATAAAGCTGAGAAAAAAATTAATGTAATTAATTCTTTAAAATAATAAGCCATTATATATTACCAAGCAATATTTTAATGAATAATTGTATTTTCCACAATAAAAAAAATTAGTGATAATATTGGCATTATTTTACATTTTTACAATTCTCTAATGTCTGCTTTCATAGAAGACATCTAGATTCTTATACCTGTTTCTGTAGTCAACCTGTTGTAACATCATACCTTATATGTTATTGTTGTTGTTAAGTGCCGTTGAGTTAGATCTGACTCAGAATGACCCTATATAGGATTTCCAAGGAGCAGGTGGTGGGTTTGAACTGCTGACCCTGTGGTTCACAGTCCAATGCTGATACACACTGCCACACCAGAAGTCATTAGAAATAAAAAAAAACATGTATTTGTTCAGTCAATGATTCAACCAAGACTAGGGCTTTTCCAGTTGAGTACAATAGAGGGAGAAAACGTCCAAAATAAATGGCTAAGAAGGGGAAGAAGGGCATGTAAAATCTATATTTTACGGCATACATGCAGAGAAGGGAGTCCTGGTATGGTGCTGAAGGATAAGCACTGGACTGCTAACTGCAAGGTCACGGTTCAAACCCAGTAGCCACTCCTTGGAAATCTTTTACAGGGTCATGAGTCAGAACTAACTCGATGACACTTAACAACAACGTGGAGGGAAAATGAGAAAGACTTACATCAAAATGCTATTTTTATTTCACCTGAAACACAATATTCTTCAAAAAAGAAAGAAATGCTTAATCTTTGTGATATTATTGAGTAACCCTTAATTGCCAATTTGTGCCTTTCTGTGGAGGAGCGTGGCAGAGTATTTCATTCTGTTGAGCCTGGGGTTGCTGATTCTGTGGCAGTAACATGACCTCCCAAGTTTTCTGCAGTCAGCACAAATTATTTTTTGTTACAGAAAATGCTCTAAAATAATGTTGGTACCCAAACCTTTTCTTTGCACAAATTACTCTCTTAAGAGAGCTTTCTGGTTATAGAATCAATGGGTAAAAAAGCATAAAGTTTTAAGGTTTTTTTTTTATCAATTCTGCTGAATTATTTTCCAAAAGCACAACTCACACCCCCACCTGAAGTGTGTGGGACTGTTCAACTTAACATACAAACTGATAAAATAAAAGCTTAGCTTTCATTTTAATCTCTATGGGTTTCATTTTAATTGCTGTGGGTTAATGCATCAGACTGCAAAGCCGTTTGAACTGCAAGGTTGGTGGTTCAAGCTCACCAGCTGCTCCTCAGAGACCCTACACAGGATCGCTATGGGTTGGAACCAACTCAACAGTACTGAACAACAACAATGTAGCAGAAAATTCTTCTATTTTCCTTTTTTGCCACTGAACAAAATTAATCTAAATTCACTGAAAAATTTTTTCCCCTCAAGCTGTCTTTGGATGGGGAAAGGCAGGTACAATCAGAAAAGCAAACCAAGTATTACAAGTTTTAAAAGACTAGAAATAAGAATCCAGTCCGAAAAGGATACACACTATATGACTCCAACTCTATGGCATTCTGGAAAAAGCAAAACTAGAGAGACAGTAAGATGATCAGCGGCTGCCAGGGTGCTCAAGAGGTAAGGAGATGAATGGGTGGAGCACAGGGCATTTTTAGATCAGTGAAACTACTCTGCGTGACACTGTAAATGTGGCATTAAAGACATTGGTCAAAACCCACAGAACTTTACACCACAGAGTGAATTTTGTTAATATATTAATATTGGTTCATCAATTGTAACAAATTTAACACTAAAGAAAGATGTTAGTAATATGAGAAACTGTGAAAAGTAGGGCAAGGGGTATGTGGGAACTCCCTGTACTTCTAGTGCAAATTTTTTGTAAAGTGATGTGAAATGGTTTGCTTTTATAAAAGCCATTCTTGCCATGTTCTTGTAATGCCTATGAAATGAGTGGGTGGGACTATTCAAATAAGGCACCTGTGACCCAGTAAAGGGAATGGACAGCTAGCTTTAATATAAATAAGGGACATGAAACTCCTGAGGGAGTGTGAACATGCAAATTTAAAGGTAAAGATTTACAGCCTTGGAAACCCTGTGCAGGGTTGCTGAGTCTGAACCGATTCCACGGCACACTACCACCACCAGTGAGGGGATTGGTTTGTTTTTGCCATCTTTCTAGACTTAAAGGGAGACGATTCCAGAAGCGGAGGGGGGAACCTCACTACCATCAAGAAGAGAAACTGAGAGTGGACCGTGTCCATTGGACCCAGCATCTATGTGCTTAGAACCTCCTAGAGCCAGGTAACAGAGTCATAACACTGGAGGTGGCACAAGACAGTGAGAAGTGGCAGCAGAACCAGAAGACTGGTATGAGGCAGTACGGTAGACTTCCTGGCCCAGGGAGCACGGAAAGCGGGCTACAGTGGGTGTGCAAGAGAGCCGAGCACCTTTGGCAAGAAGCTTCCTGGTGGCGTGGGGTGGACTCACTGGAGGCAGACTCACTGATCCATAGAGCTAGAGAGTTGAGTGCTTCAATCCAAGGCTTACTGGCAGAGTGGGGTGCCTCTGGGCATTATCAGAAAGTTAAAAGCCAGGCCAAGTGGCTAAGGTCCAGAGAGAAACCTGCCTGTGGCCATGACAGAAAAAAAAAAAAAAAAGCTATCCTAATCCAAGGAGTGGAGCCTGAGTTGTAACCTGTTACTTCCCTAAGAACCCCCATAATGGTGAACATTACCAAATTCTTTTTACTGAGATCGCGGCTTTGAGCCCCAACTTAAAGCAGACCTGTTTTCTTACCTCATTTTTCATTAATGCAAGCCTTTTCTTTTACATAAAAATAAGTTTAGTGTGACAAAGTCACACTAAATGGTTATTGCAACACATTTTCTAGTCCAGCAGAGAAGGAGAGAATGCTGCAGGAGGGACAGCTGGCAAAAAGGCTGAAGGGAGAAGAAATGTCTGAATCAGCCTTGGGCTGATGTTGGTGATTCTTCTCTCGGAAAGCTGGAAGACCTCCGATGCCACTGTGCTATTTTATAAAATCTAAAACTTCACTAAAAATAATTACTATTTACTTCTATCCCCTTTGTTGTTAGCCCTTGCATAATTCCCTGTGTCTTCACCTCTCTTCATCATCCTTCTGCCAACCTCCCTCTTCTTGTCTATTGCCCTCTTGGTCTCCCGAGTTGACATGTGTCTACCTTCTAAAGGTTTTAAATCTTTATGGAAGCAGACTATTTTGTCATTCTTCCACAGAGTGGCTGGTGGGTTTGAATCACCAACCTTATGGTTAGCAGCACAACACTTAACCCAGTGCACCAGCAGAGCTCCGTCCATTAACATTAGGAGTGCTAGCTCATATGTTTTGTTGTGCTCTGGACTCAAAGTATCCTGGCAGGGGTCACTGCAGAGGCCTTGGTGAGCTCCAGGGCTAGTTGGGCTTCAGGCCATGAATGTTCCCTGCACCTCTCCTAGAGCCTGATTCTGGACTATACATAGTTGGTAAATTGGCCCCATTTGAAGGCTTGATGTTTTCTCAGGACTTTAGGAATGATTTGTTGAGTTTGGGAGTTCCCCAGGAGTTGAGAAGTAACCTACTTTTTTAGCTGTTTGGTCATAATGGAAGCAGGGTCCACTGGGACCTACCTAGTCTTTGGTCATTTTAGAAAAGCTGAAGCTATGTCTGGTAAAGTGCACAGAAATATGACCTGTTGGCTAGGACCAGTCTCAGAAGGTATATTGTTTCTCTCCACATAGAGAAGATTTACAAGAAAAATGAAGTATGGTTGCCAGGGATTGTTTGTGAGGCAACACCCATCCAAGCTACTTGATTCTTGATGCTAAAATGGGCTATAATCCTTGTTTCTTTTTGAGTATAGGATTTTAAAAATGTAGGGCAGGATTAGAATTAGCTATTAACAATATGCCCAGAGAATATCAGGAAGAGAAAGCTGGGAAGGATTGAGGTTACAGCAGTTATTCTCAATTTAGAAAAAAAATTGTGATTGGGGATGTTCAAACAGGCAGTTGAAATATATTTTACACATTAAAACTCATGAAAGCCCCAGTTTGTTTTGTTTTTCTTAATAGTGGGGGAGGGGAGGATGGCTGAACAACTGTCATTGAAGTGGACACACAGGATCTATTGACTTGGTGTATGCTTTGCTGTGTATATTCCCAACAGCAACAAAATAAATGTTAAATGTCTAGTATACTGCTTGTTACTATAAAAGTACAGATGGTCCCCAGATTATGAACCAGGTCCATTCCTAAATTTTTCTCTAAGTCAAATGTATATATAAGTAGGAATAGTTAGGTACAGTTCGTATCTAACATGAGTCAAATGTTTGTCTTAGTATATAGTATAAAGTATACTTTTCCATAAGTAAAAAAAAAAAATTAAAGAAACACTTCCAGATGCATTAAAGCATCTTTAATATAATTGTTATTGTTGTTGTAAGTGCCATCTGTCAAGTCAGCTCTGACTCATATAGACCCTGTATAGGGTTTCCAAGGAGTGGCTGGTGGGTTTGAACCACCAACCTTGTGGTTAACAGTACAATGTTGATCCTACACCACCACACCAGGAGTCCTTTAATATAATACTACAGTAATAATCAGTGCCTGTTTATTATTATTAACCATTGTATATAGCTTGCACTTCTAATGTAATAGGCTTTATGGAGCTGGTTCATAACTATGGGT